GATTAAATCTCACTGGGCTCCCGGGTTATATCTGTTGTGGTGAGTTCTCGGCGTGCAGCGCACTGGTCTGTGGGTTGACATTCTCAGCGAAGACAAAGCAAAAGTTGTATTTCCAAATACCCACTTGAAACATCAACGGTGAATGGTTAATCAAATGTCTGACGCTCGTATAACCCCGACACAACCTTCCACTACACAACATTTCAGTCAGATTGACTAAAGGAGTATTGTGTCACATTTACCGTATGTTGATAATAAACACAAGCACGGAAGACGAGAGACCTTGAGTTCAGTCTACCTATGGAATGGCCTCTAAACTGTACGATTATGTACATTTACCATATATTATTTTGTATATTATATATTATGTTCCTGACAATAAAGCTATTATAGAAGGGAAGCAGACAGGCACCATATTGTATGATCATGTTCCTAATAATAAACCTATTATACCTGAAGTATATCCCGCTTTCTTGCAAGTAGAACCTCCAGTTCTATAATGAATAAATTCTATTTAACAATATAACGAACTATTTTACAATGTTCGATGAAAGTCGACCTATATGGTAACCCCAATATCCTGTCAGAATTTATCTCTCACGCATTCAACATTTAATCAAAGCAAATGAAAAGTAGCACGATATGTTAATCTTAAACTGAGCGAGGTCACGTACTGACGAGATATTAAAGGTCACACCTGTCTGTTCTAATACCGATCCAATCACTAGATATATATCCATTACCACCCCCTATCCCTCTCTCTCTCTCTCTCTCTCTCTCTCTCTCCCACACGCTGCGAACCAGGAAGTTTCTACTTGTAAGTCAATCATTTCAAAGTGTTAACGATCTAGTCTAAGGACATCGACTATTCAATCGATAAGATGGTGAACAACCCAATAACCCTTACAGGCAATATTTAACCAGCGGCATGTACATCGTTATAGTGATAACCAAGTCTAGATAACTGCTCGTATTCATATCAGATTCCAGACCACAACGGTGTTATTGACTAGTTCACGCTTGAAGGCGTCGGATTAAGCAATTGAATATGGTATTCAATCAATATATGATAAAATGATATGAAAGAGAGAGACTAACATATATGGTTCAGTTTTATATTTTGATAATTCGTTTGAGCGTAGAGGGTTTGGATGTGGGAGGAACCCAGGACCTGGGGTAAACGCACGAGGCTGGATATGCGACTCAAACCCCTGATATTCTATTCGAGAATCTACTTCCCTAACCGCTTGACAAACCAAGCCACCTGGAACGTAATAGACTCGTTTTGTTGAAAACGGTAATCAAATGCTTCTGAAACTTCCCTTTTGTTAGGAGCTTACACCATTTCTACCTACATTCCAGAATAAAAGGTTTCCTAATCCCACAAAAAACTGAAAGTGGAGAAGAAATTACGTCACGATTCTACTCGCATCACTTCAATTATCGAGACTGATAGAACTTTAACTGAATTCTGTTTCACATGTTTACAATTCAGTCAATTATCGAGACTGACAGAACTGCCTCAGGACTGAAATTTGCGACACTATACGTTCAACATACATTATGTAAGAGCTAAATCTGCCTATTGCCAGTACTTATATAGGTCTGAAATGTTACCTAAATTATTAATTAAACCTTTATTTACATGCCACGCTCAAAATCAACTTTGTAGACCCTCGGACGGCTTGGATACAGCTTCGATTTAAACAGTCGTCCATTTAAAATTAAATAAATAAATGGCGGACCAAGCTAACGTTTACCGTTAGTCACTGACGTCACTACTAGAGACTGGTGATGAAAAGCCTGCCAAGCGAGGGTAACATAGCCATTGCGAGTGTTACTTGATAATCGAGAATATGTGGGTGAAGTTATCGTCTGTCAATCAAACGATCGGCAATTCTCTTAGACGGTGCGGACACAGCTGATGCCATTTTCTAGTCCAAACTTCCAATAGAGAAAACTTTGTTCAGAATAAAGTAATTGGACTGAAATTTTCAATATTTTCTTTTTTTATCATCTATTTTTGAATTATTATAGCAAGAATGGCTACTAACTCTTCATTAAACCCTTAACTAATGTATCTTTATATAATAGACAGCGCAATCCGAACTGTGAAATACTCCACAAAGCGACACTATACAATACATTAATACAATAATAGGTGGCGCAATCCGATCTGTGAAATACTCCACAAAGCGACACTATACAATACATTAATACAATAATAGATGACGCAATCCGGTGTGTGAAATACTTCACAAAGCGACACTATACGATATGTCAATAGACGGCGTAATCCGATTGGTGAAATACTCCACACGCGACAGTAGGCCTATACTGTGTTACAGTGGGGATAATTACTAAAACTATATTTAAAATTCATGGAAACCTTATTGAAAATCGTTGGTCCTTCCTGTTAATAGATGACACAACCTGATTGATGAAACACCTCAAATACGACACTATGCCATTCGTTGATTATAGGCGCATCCCGGACATGTTTCAACGACGCTTGAAATCATTAGAAACTGGATCGATGGAATGAACCATTTACCTGATGAGCGCCGACGATGACGTACACCAAGTTCTATTGATTTTCTTCTCTGCAATCTGTCGTTCGGCTTCATATTTTAATTAGTTTGATTGCACGCCATGAAAACCAAAATCGGGTTGTTTACAAATCGATTGTTGCCAATTTTTTTTTTATTGTTTTTTTTCTTTTTTTTTTTTTGTCGATCTTATCTAATGCCCACTATAATAGCAAAATGAAAATATTATATTTGTCTAGAAGTTTGTTACAAAGAGTATGCCAAAGCGCCGCTGTCCGGGCAAAATTTCCCTCATAGCACACTGTATGGCGTATGCTGGTTTTCATTAGCCCAGTCGGAGCAGAACAGTAGGACGTTAAACCCCATTTCATTTTAGTTCATTTCGTTGCGCCACCCTTAAGCCGATTGTCATGGTCCGTATTCTGGGATATTTAGTTTCACGGATAAGTTAAGCTATAAACGTGTGAAATACTTTCCTGGCTATTTCTACACCATTTTTATTTTAATCTTTTCTTACCTTCACAACACTCATATATCATTTGATCGCGTCAACAAATCTTCAAATAGCTTGAATACCCAGTACTCCATTTAACTATTTACAAGTTAATATCTTCACCCCCCAAAACCTTCCTTTAACGTTACACATGAACACACGTGGTGTGACACAAACACGCAGACTCCAGTCTATAGAATATGTGATATGAGAGTTCAGACGAACTAAACAAACTGAGTGGCAAGTTTCTTAGCCTAGACAAAGAACCATCCTGCTCAGCCTAGACAAAGAACCATCCTATATACCGTGCTGTGTAAAATTTCACAGCCGTGAGGAACCAAGTAATAACCACTCTACATGCTACATGAATGTCTTCGCACTTTATCCCAGTGTGGCGCGGCGTCAAACAGTTCCATCCTGATAAAAGCCTCTTTTAATACTGTGATAGTACTGACCGCGCGAAACTTTATCACGGAGCAATAATATAGAATAAAATTAACCTCCAGGGTAATCCCGTCTTGGCTAACAACACAATATCTATGATTAAAAATGAAATGAAATGGGGTTTAACGTCCTACTGTTCTGCTCCTGTACTGGGCTAATGAAGACGGGCATACGCCATACAGTGTGCTATGAGGGAAATTTTGCCCGGGCAGCGGAACTATCGCCTACTCTTGTATCGAATTCCAACTGCCAAGGGATCTTTTACGTGCATTCTAATGTATACACGGGACCTCGGTTTTTCGTCTCATCTGAAGGACTAGACAGCTGTCCTTGTCAGGCCCTCCGTTCTGCACCACTGACAAGGGGAAACCACGTCGGAAAATTTGGATGAACTTTCTCGGCCAATGCAGGGATCGAACACCCGACCTCCAGGCTAGCGAGCCAGCGTCTAAACCACCTAGGCACCGTGGCTCCCTATGATTATAAACAGCTGCACACCAAAAACACTACAGCCACACAATGCCCACATGTTACAAATATGCACCAAACGGACTAATGAAGACGGTGAGCATAAGTTATACCGTTTCCGTCTATTCTTAATTCCTTCATTTCGCACTGTACCAATGGTTCTGTTACATAATTTTGAGGGCTGTATGAAATAACGGCCCCAGATATTCGGTCAGTCGAAGTATACCCTCAGCTACAATTCCTATAGATTACCAGTGTAGTTTTCTATAGAATTCTATAGTACATTCTAAAGGGTTTGGCGCGCGTGGGGGGGGGGGCACATTTTTTGTAGGATGGAATTCTTTAGTGTCCTACATAATTTTGGGGGCCTGTAGGAAATAACAGCCCCATATATTCTACAGTTTCTGAAGAGCAAATCATGTAATTTTCCTGCATATTTATGCTAATATTTCTATAGGAAAATACTATTTTATTCTATATATGCTGTTTTCTGTAGTAAATTCTACAGTTATCTTTTTGTCTTTGATCAAGTTTTGTGAACAGACTGCACAGTTGTCCAACTGTCTCCAGTTTCTTATTAGTTAACTTCTATGAAGTTGTTGTACATGTAAATTGAATTTAAAAATTTAAAATTCAGCCAAGGAACTAACAGTCTTCACTTGGATTAATTCTAATCAGTCGGTTAGCCAACGGATAATGAAATTGAATTTCCAGCAACAGAAATTTAACGGGCCTTTAACAAACGACACGTTAACAAGATAACGATCCGTTGCAGTTTAACGGATTATCAAAATAACTGAGTTTTGAGCAACCAAACCCAGGTCATTTTGATTCTTCAGGCTATGCAACATGGGACACCTAATTGTTCTCAGAGACGTAGCTGTGCTTTGTGTCACAGTGTCATACTTTTCAGGACGCAGTGGGGGCACTATCGTGATCGCGAGTGAGTGTGACAGGGGTTTAAGGTAGATCTAAGGCTCGATCACCTTTTTAAACGCAGGCCGACGAATTCCGTATACGCCAAATATAATATTTTACTATCTTACCTTCACCGTATGCAGTGTAATCCTCCATCTTGACTTCTTAAGTTTCCAGAAACCGACGAAAACTCGGTTGATCTAATTATTGTCAGTAGACTACCTGTAATCTTCTTGTTCTTAAAACTTCTCCATTCCTGTAAAAACACATGAAAATCAAATAGTCGACAATTTAATCTGGGGTAGTCCACTAGGATACTATCGCCAATTAAACACTCCATATGCCCTAAATGTATCAGCCCCTTGTCTTTAGAACAAGCCATTTATATTTTAAATAACATATAATTAGTTGGAGACAAAGGGGCCCGGAATTGAAAGGCTGTAACCGCTTTACTGATGAATGGGCCAGAAATGGAAGTCATCCACGAGGATGGCGTCAAAATGCTTTTTTGTTACGTCACTCGCAGGAGAAAGGCATACGGATCACAGCTGCAAAAAAAAAAAATAAGTAATAAAAAAAGTACATAACGGTCGAAGGCATCATATCGCAATAACTCCCTCGAACATCACTATTTTAGTCAGTAAGCCAGCATTGTATTCACAGAGGGATTGTGACTACCCCTCTAGAAATATTAAGCATAATCTGCCTCGAGTACGACATTGTAATAATTACATCCCAAATGGATCAAGTGTTTGAACCGGATATTCACCTATTGCATTTAACTGACAGCGAACAATGTTGACAAAAATGAACAAACTAGAACTTTATTGAGAGAGAGCGAGAGAGAGAGAGAGAGAGAGAGAGAGAGAGAGATACAATATACCTATCTATACCTATACCAAATTCTTTCCTTTATATGACTGGGGAGAGAAATTGGGCTTAAGTCCACACGACATAAGCCCTGTCGTTTTAGGTTGGGACTAAGATATTAGCAGTGGGCGGAAAGCGGAGAACCCGGAGTAAACCCACAAGGTTGGACCTGACTCAGTGACAGACCTTATGATCAAACCCGCGCTCGTTAAGAAACTTTTTTCCTCGATATTTTGCTTACCTTTAATGATATATATCGATTCGCATTTTTAACACGGTTAATGTCCTTCAGTACATATTATCGGTTATCTATAAAGTTCACAGCCTGCCGGATAATCCTTGTGAAAAAAAAAACTAAACAAAAAAAAAAAAAAACTGACATACAGATATATTATACAAGTTTTCTCCCATTATTTTGCTTACCTTTAATGATATAAATCGATTCCCATATATATAATATTAACACGGTTAATGTCCTTCAATACATATTATTGGTTATCCATAAAGTTCACAGCTTGTCGGATAATCCTCGTGAAAAAAACCCAACTGCTTTAAAAAGATTGTCAACACGGTAAAAGGATCAAGTTCTTGACCCCACAAACGCCAGTCGTAGTGGGTTGTCGGGTATCGCTCTGTCCACGAACACTATCGACCAACTCTATAACTCATCGAATACACAACTCTGTCAACCAAGTCAGTCACCAACACTATAATTAATAAAATACACAGCTCACAAGATAACTCCAAATTAAATCGTTGTAAGGACAATCCCTGATTTGGTACCTCTAGTTTGTCTATGTAGCCTATATTTTGCTCCACATTGAGCCAATATTCCCCTGATTACCACCTAAATATGGTAAAGTTGTTTACCATAAGCATGGATAATAGTTTGTTAGTCCATCCAATTAGTAAATGCCACTTACAGATTATTGATCCGTCTTAATTAATAGCTATCCTTGTTAACCTACTACAGAAGTCGTACAAGTGTCCAGATGTACTTGTCACGTTTTATAACACAGCTAGCAATATATATCTGATATGAACTGTAAGAAACTATACAGCTGCTATATGAGACGCTGACACAGAAAATAGGACAAGTTAAATAACCTACTTCAATACTGTGAGTTTTATGTATAACCCCAACACAACCCCAAATAAACTTGTTTATAATTCTAAACTAGTTTACGATAAGGTATTCAAATTCCACCAGAATTGGCGAAGTTGAAACTAGACAAAGTGAAATGAAATGAAATGGGGTTTAACGTCCCACTGTTCTGTTCAAACAGGGCTAATGAAGACGAGCATACGCTAAACAGTGTATTATGAGGGGAAATTTTGCCTGACCCTCTTATTTCGAATTCCAATTATCACGGGTTCTTTTAGGTGCCTACCTTTTACGTGTCATCTGACCGACTAGTCACTGCTCCTTACCAGACCACACCTCCTTACAAGGGGAAATCAAGCTGGACAGTTTATGAAAATTCTATAAAATACCGTGCGTTGGTGTAAAGCAAACTTCCAAAAATATTACAACAGTGCGTACAGGAAGACCGCACTACACACAAATTAAATCGATAAGACAAACCTGCGGACAAGATAAACAACACAGAATCCACTCAAAATGAAAATAAACAATGATGAATACAAGCAAGACGCGATAGAAATATCGCTCTTGAACGGCGATAGTCTGCCGTAATCATTAGATATAACGTCTTTTTAATCCCTGAAAAGGACAGCTCTCTAGTCGTTCGGATGGGACGAAAAACCGAGGTCCCGTGTACACATTGACGTGCACGTAAAAGATCCATTGACAGTTAGAATTCGATATAAGGGTAGCCCGTAGTGCCGCTGTCCGGGCAAAATTTTTCTTATAGCACACCGTATGGCGTATGCCCGTCTTCATTAGCCCAGTTCGGAGTAGAACAGTAGGACGTTAAACCTCATTTTATTTCATTTCATTTCTTTTTCATCAATTACAAGATTTTAAAAGAGACATCTACAGAAAACAAATATTTGAAGATATATACTTTAAATCCGCGGAAACATTGTGATAATTAAATCTCTAACAGAAGTCATTCAAAAAAATGTTCAGATCTGTCTCAAAATGGTTTCGTTCCGTCTCAAAATTGTTCAATTCTGTCTCAAAATCTCAAAATGGTTTCGTTCCGTCTCAAAATGGTTTCGTTCCGTCTCAAAATGGCTCAATTCCGTTTAGTATTTACAAATTAGTGAAAATTTTATCAACATTCGCCATCCTCTGAGGACGGTATGAACGAAACATGGTCAAAACAAGACAGTGCCATCTATATTCTTCGCTAAATTCTTTTGGTGGTCCTCTCTTTAATTCGATTGAATACAAAATTAATATTTTAATGACAAGGATGTGGCTAAATACCAATCTAATTCTCCTCATAGTGCACCACACTGATCAGCAGTGAATATTCGCTAGGCTGCTATAATCACCGAGAGGGATATGGGTTAATTAGCTTACAATATTCATTTTTTCCCTTCTGTAAATTAAATTCTAGAACATTTTTTTAAAAGTATTATGAAAATCAAATAAAGGTGTTTGAAGTGTATCTGGATAAAAAAAAATTCTATTGAGTGCAAATTGGTATAAAAAATAAATAAAAGGCGAGAGAGAGAGAGTAACGTCCACTCGACACAAACTAGATCTCGGGACTAACATGTGGTTCAATTTTATTTTAATGATTCGCTTGCGCATAGGGTCTTTAGTAGTGGGAGGAAACCGGAGGACCCGGAGGAAACTCATGAGGTTAAACAGGCGACCCTAATTTTTGTCATGTACAACCGGGGAATCAAAACCACGCCAGTTGACTCAATGACAGACCTTATGATACAGCCCGCAGGGGCTAACAACTCGCCCCCCACCCAATGATTGACGCTTCGTGGTCTGACGTCATAAGTTGAAGGCATTTGAACTTCAGTCATCTCACACACAGTTAGAGACTTTTGGCAAGGAACAATACCATCCATATCACGTATCCTTATCGTCACGTGATACGTTGCGTCAATGTAGTTTTGGCAGATTTTCGCGCCTCGTACGTATGAGTAGCTGAGCTGAGCTCAGTTCTATTACAACATGATGGCAATTATCTACTAAGATCACCATCAGTACTAGTCAAGTTCCTAGCCAGAGGGAGTGAGTCGCTCGACAATCGGTGAACTATAATTAAACAAAAAAAAAACAAAACAAAAAAAACAAAAAAAAAATTAATGTCGAATGTCATTAAAAATCTTCGACTTCGACTCGACAGCAGTTTTTGGTCACTAATGTATAGTATCATTTTAGAAAGTTTATACCTCTTTACCATAGAATCACATCATTTACAGATTTGCACAGCAATGTTTGGTTTCACTAATGTATCATTTATACTCCTTTACCATGGAATCACATCATTTTCAAATCTGCAAGATCCCACCTCCCTAAATTTAGCGCATAGATCAACCAGCATGCAGAAAGACACGCGGGAAAAATATTAATATTCCGAGAAAAACTCATGACAAATGATTAAATTCCAGTCTTTATCATGGTTAAAATCATATCAAATAAATATACACCTTCGTGTTCTAGGATACACATAGATTCATAAAAACGCTATGGTACAATATTTCAGGGTCTAAAAGTAGCAAAAAATACGGTAAAAAGACGACGATGTTACACGGACCATTTTCGTATGAAAGCTGTTCAATACGTGCTGCCGTATCCATGTGCCGTATCACGTATGAGAAATACACACACATTGATGACGTCACACGCAAAGTTGTTTCGGATACGCGATACGGACCAGGAATTTGTGTTTGCCAAAAGACTCTAATACCTCTGTAAAACAGACTGATAGCACACTGCTTTGCACATTCTCGTCTTTATTGGCGCGTAAAAGTAGGACGTTAAACCCTATTTTATTTTATTTAATTTCAATTATCATAGCCATGACATGACAATTGTACATAGTTCAACAGGTTGAAGAAAGTTAATTATTTAAAATTACCATGGAGTCAACTTAACACGAATAGAAATCAATAACAGAAAACATTTACCATTTCTTCTGGTTTATATAAGTAAATCAGGACCAAAGCAATTTAAAATAAAGCAATATTTTGATTTTGAGACTTTAACTGAAAATAGGGGATCACGGTGGCTAAGTGGATAAGACGTTGGCTCGCTAATCTGGAGGTCGGGTGTTCGATCCCTGCATTGGCCGGGACAGTTCATCAAGATTTTCCGGCGTGGTTCCCCCTTGTCAGTGATACAGGCCTGACAAGGACAGCTGTCTAGTATTTCTGATGGGACGATAAACCGGGGTCCCGTGTACACATTGGCGAGCACGTAAAAGATCCCTTGAAAGTTGGTATTCGATATAGGAGTAGGCCGTAGTGCCGCTGTCCGGGCAAAATTTCCCTCATTGCACACTGTATGGCGTATGCCCGTCTTCATTAGCCCAGTTCGGAGCAAAACAGTAGTAAACCCCATTTCATTTCATTTTTATCACTGAGTCAAGTGACATGGTTTCGATTGTGAGTAGGGTCGCCTGTCCAACCGCGTGGTTTACTCCGGTTTCCTCCCTTTGCTAAAGACTCACGACCGCAAGCGAATTGTTGAAATAAAATTGTTAGTACCGGAATGACCTAGTTTGTGTCGAGCGGGCGTTAAACAGTGAGTACAATAATAAAAACTTACCTATTACAACCACTAAATCCTGAATGAATAATATCCAGCTGAACTACAATAACAGGACTATGACCTCGACAGTTGTTATTTACTAATGGATTAAGGCACTTCCACAGTGTTAGCTGTTCACGCTTGATAAAATATTTGTTCAACTGAGGACATGCCCTCTGGGAGAATAAAGTTCAAACAGTCAGCTGTGTTAATACACACTACACAATTGTCTGTGTAATATAACTACTGTTTATTATTGGGTGACGCATTGGCTGGGATTCTTCAGTCTTAATAAAACTGTCAGCTGTGTTAATACACACACACAATTGTCTATATAATACAACTATACTGTTTATTATTGGATGACGCTTCATCGTGATATCTCTTGCCTAGGTATCTCGTATTCACGGTAACTACGAGTTTTCGATTGATCACATGAGACCCCGTTGTTGTCCGGGGAAGTCTATCCATATTAGTCTCCTCGGCTTCCACTCATTGTGAGGAAAGAAAACGGACCCTGGAAGTTGGGAATCCTTAAAGATGTATTATTTAGATACAAAGTTGACAGTTCTCGCTATAGTAGTTTAAAACTACCCATGTCAGTCAAATTACTCCATTCTGAGAGGTGTTATGGGTTGTTTGTAGAATAACGGAGTCTCGATTGTCATTTCTACCGCTTTTACGATAGTAAATAAATAAATCATTCGTTTGTCACTGCTACTGTTGTTATAAACAACGTCTCGATTATCCACTTTTTTAATTAAATGATTAACCGCCAATCGTATTTAAATCCGTTAAAATTCAATTACATCCGATGACATAGAGTGTAGATAATAGTCTTGGCAAGTTGATAAAAATGATTAAAAAATAATTCATATAACATTTAAGGCCTCCAAATGTTCTCCATTTTATCATAAATATGATTATATCACAAGTATAGTATGGATTATACGTTATCAACACACTGATATAATTAAAATATCAGATATCTACGAAAGCCCAGAAGGCTCATTCCAAATTCCAAATTCCAGATTCCAAATTCCAAATT